TCATCAGTTGTCAGTCATCCTTCTTTTATTAATGATCAGAAGTTCACATCTCCTCCAGGCAGGGCAAAGTCCTTCCCTGCTCTGCTCCTGTCTGTTATGCTGAAAGGTCTGGCTGTAGCAAACCCTTGTATGTTATACGGCGAGTTTTCTCTCTCTCTCCAGTGGTTTCTCCTGCTGGGATCACGCTGAGACGAGCCCTTGTCCTGATGACATCATTCGGAAGTTTCTTGTCAGGCTTGTTGCTTCATCCCTTCACTTATTAACTAATATATCTGACTTCTGGGGCACATGTTGCCTGTGCTGTGGCTAAACTGGCTTCTGTTGAACACAGCTAGACAGCTACAGAACCCTGAAAGGGTGTTGCTAAGTATGATGGGTAGCACAGAGATACTGTACTACACTGACGGCTTCTAAGAAAAAAAAAAAAGAAAAGAAAAGGTCTTGCTTCCTTTACTTTTACATGAAATTGAAGTAACAATAGTCGTATTGTTATTGTTATGCATACTGCATAAACTCCTTTTCTTTTCTTTTCTTTTCTTTTCTTTTCTTTTCTTTTCTTTTCTTTTCTTTTCTTTTCTTTTCTTTTCTTTTCTTTTCTTTTCTTTTCTTTTCTTTTCTTTTCTTTTCTTTTCTTTTCTTTTCTTTTCTTTTCTTTTTCTTCTAGCAATGTAGCAGGGAATGTTCCTCTCTGCCTCTCCATTACTCCAGTGTAAAATTAACTCTTAAGAAAGCTGTTGAAAGATGGAATTTTATCAGACAGGAAGGTGAAATTTTACTGGCTGCATATCCATCAGTTCTTGCTTGTTAGGCTTTCAGTTTCAGAGAGATGTGTATTGACAAGGTCTTGGAAAAATGAGAGAGGGCTTAAAAATAATTTTAACACAATGAAAAAGTAAACCGGAATAGGCATGTTCTTCTCCCTCTTCAAACTTAACAAATGGTTTTGGCAATGCTTTTCTAGCACTGCTGACTGGATCTATATGGAAGCAAAAGCTATAGCAGACTTCCAAATTGTCAGTACTGAACTTTATTCTCAGTGGTAACAGATCATTAAAAAAATTACTGAAGGAACATTCTGAAAAAAAAAATAAATGTTGGGCATCAGATGAAATTTCTGCTTATATGCTGACTTTTTTTGTGTGTCTCTTTTTGTTTACTAAATTCAGACTTGTCCATCTAAGTTTTGGACACCTGCAGTAGGGCTGATGAATCTTATGACTGCAGTCTAATGGAAAAAATGGTACTGCAGTAAGTTCTGTATTTAATCAGTGTTTCCATGAATTGTAGGGTCATGCATCTTCAGTGCTTCAAGCAAAAATACTGTTGACTCTGGCACTGGAGAATGACTAGAGAGAGGGGAATGAATGGATAAAGTGGGGCCTTGGGATCTACACAGACTGTGTGAAATAGTAATATTTGTTAATTTTGCTGGTTAATTAAAGACTTGGGAACGATGACCTGTGAAATTCGCTACCTTGTTAAGTATTCATATGTTAAAAAAATGTCTTTTTCTAATCGCAAACATTAGCATCTTGGAGACTCTCAAAATATTTTAATGTAGCATTTGACTTGTGGCTTTTTGAGTAAAAATGTAACTTTTATGAAAAAGTGTTAAGGAAATGCATAATGTGCTCTAGAAATGGTAAACAATGTGGAATTAGTGGGGTGGAGTAGAGAAGATAGGGGTTGGCAGTGGGATTTTGCAGAAGGATAGTAAGAGTGGAAGATGGCAGAGAAGACAAGTGGAATAGGGTGAATTAGTGCGGTACAAAACCTCATTGGCCTCCATTCTTGAAGAAGAGCTGGGCCTGCAGGGTCAGGACCTACACCCTCCAAGTGTGAAAGAGGTTGAGCTTGAGTCTCACACTGCTGCAGCATTGTGTCAGGGGTCAAAAAAAAAAAAAAAAGGGATTTGATTGCTGCCTTTTATGATGTGCAGAAAGCTTCTCTGGAAAGCTCACATAATGAGCTCTGCAGAGTTCCAGGAAGACTGTTATGGCAAGAAGGAGAACATTTCATGTTGTACTTTCTCATCACTGTGTGACCTTGATATGTTTTATTATTTTAAATACTTAATTGTGTTATTTAAAACCTCTTATAATTACTCCGTTCTCTAGAGGCATACTTATGGCTTTTGCACAACAGTCCTGAGTAGATCCTGAAGAAATTATTGAGGAAATCCTGTGAAATACTATATTGTAGAAGCACTCTGTGGGTTAGTTATAATAACTACAAGAATGTACATAATGTGCTAGCTTACTGCTTCTTGATGCCTGCAATAGGAAATTGCAGTTCCAAAGGGGCAATACAAGGGGCAGTGTTGCAGCCCCTGCCAGAAGTGCATTGCTCCATAGTCACTACCTAAGCTTTGCTTTCTACCTGAGGCAACGTCTAGCAGTACCAGAGTCCAACTGGGGTGCAGACAGACAGGTCAGCGAACAGAAATGTTAGTCATTAAAGTTGTCAGATGACTCTTCGGATTGAATTAACAATTATTCTCCTGTTAGATGCAGTTATAGATTCAGGCAGATGTACTAAAAAGTAATAAAACAAATTACAAGCCACTTCTCATCTTTTTTTTTTTTTTTTCCTTTTTTTCCTTTTTTTTTTTTTTTTCTTCTAGTATCCACTTTGGGATGTGTGTGATAATTCTTCTCTCTATAAAGTTCTTGTGGGACTTCCCTCCATTCTGTGTGTTTCAAAGGCTTTTCTTTGTTTTGTTGTAAAAGCTTGAGGGGGTGCAAACCAAGCACAGTATTTCAGTGTTGGCAGCTTGCTGTGACACCACTTCTCATGGAAGTGCCACCTTTTACAGGCAGGAAGCCCAGGGTCCATTTGAAGAAGGTCTGCAGGGGAAAACAGATATTTTTAGAGGCACCCTCCAGCAATGAGCATTTTTTTGCCAGCTTATCTCTATGTTTAAACAATAATCGACCTCTTCCGCTCTCAGTTGGTGATTCACAGTAATTTTGTCTTATACAGGCTCTAGATTAGATGAAGGCAGCTGCATACATTTGATCAGATTCTCATATTAGCTGGGTTTTGACGGGTTGGCATTGTCCTGTTTTAGCACTGTCCTTTGTGCTCACAAATATTCTGGCACAAGGATTTCCTAAACTACATGGGTAAGGCTGACCAGCATGGGAGCCCTGCTACTGCAGGGAGTGAATAAGTGCTGTGCCTACAAGGTTCAGACTGTTTTGTTTCCCATTTAGGTCACTGCACTGGAAACGTGATATGTCCAGTTAATCTTCAACGGGCGATTTCAGACGTTATAGATCCACTTATACCTTGTGATGAATTACTTCAGTGTTTGGCAAATATTAAATAACATTTTTTGTTGACATGGAAGTGTGACCTGCAGGCTGCAGCTGGTCCCAGTGTTCGGTACTGTTTGTGTCCTGCCGTCTGGCTCTTCCTCCCTCTGTTCTCTCACTATTGAAACACAGCTGGTTTACGTCCATCACAATCAATAGAAGGACATTTCCGAGCTGGTAATTGCTGAGAGGATCCGGTGCTGATGGCTTCTGGAGCTGCCAATCCAGGGAGCAGCTTTTGGCTCCCGCTGCATACAGTATGTCTGCAGTTTGACCATTTATCTCACTTTACATACTTGAACTGAAAGAAAGGTTTGTGCAAGCACTTGCTGCTCATTCCCTGGCATGTCTTTCTCCCCCTCCTTCCCTCCCTCCCTTCCTCTCTTGCGTGTTATCAGCTATTGCAACAGTACTAAATTGTGTCATATAAGGTGAGTGATGTTGTCTAGTTCCAAGGTAATGCTAATAGGGAATAGAGTCACAGTATAAAATATAACTGAAATAATCACTGGTTCATGATTACGGGAAAGGGTATACAGTTGTACTGGCTACATTCTAACTGATTGCTATAGATTCAAGCTGTCAAGATTTGGTGGTTAAATGCAGCTACAGAAAATGTATTTAGGCATTTTCATAGGCATTTCTAAACTCAAAAGCTTCTGTGTTAAGGAAATATGGGAGGTGGAGAAACAATGAAATCAGGCTTCTTCTGTAGATTTTTGAATTGTTTCATTTAAAATATCACAGGAAAAAAATTTCAGAGGGAGCCAGTCTACAAATCGTGCTAATGCTAAGACAGATTCCCCAAAGCTACTCCATTTCTTGTCTTGCTTAATTCTGTATGCACCAAAATTCACTAAGCCTCTAAGCCAACTACCTAGTTGAAACCTCTCTGATGTAGCTTGATTTTATTCACCTGTAAATGCTCAGATTGCTGTTGCTAGGAAATGGGTGTCTGTCTGTCATCCAAAGCAGTTTGTGATTCAAGCTGAGGAAGACAGGAGCTCAAATGCTGCCCAAATCCCTCAGGGAAGAAAAAAAAAAAAAAAAAAAAAAAGCCACCTGAAAAATGAGATTTCATCAAATCACTGATTAGTTTCCTTTGACAAAATTACTCTGCCCATGTGTTGCTGATTAGCTTGGTGTCTAGCATGCTGACAGAAGGACGATGCTGGGTGGTTAGCACACTGACAGAAAACTGACAACAGAAGATAAATGCTATTTAGCATCTTTCATTCATCCAAAGAGCATGTGGTGCCCTTAGAGCTCCTACTGGAGACTAGCTAAAACCAGCTAACTGCAAAGTGATTAGATTATATTAGTTTATTAGTAGATAAACAAGAACTGTCATGGGAGCAGGGACCAGAATAGTAGGTGCCCACTCTTTTCCCTTCCACTCCCCAATGTTTTCCAAGATATTCAGACATTCTATGGAAGAAAACTCTGAAATAAAAATTTTACTCCCTTCCCTTCCCTTCCTTCCCTTCCCTTCCCTTTCCCTTCCCTTCCCTTCCCTTCCCTTCCCTTCCCTTCCCTTCCTTCCCTTCCCTTCCCTTCCCTTCCCTTCCCTTCCCTTCCTTCCCTTCCTTCCTTCCCTTCCCTTCCCTTCCCTTCCCTTCCCTTCCCTTCCCTTCCCTTCCCTTCCCTTCCCTTCCCTTCCCTTCCCTTCCCTTCCCTTCCCTTCCCTTCCCTTCCCTTCCCTTCCCCACACAGAGGCCACATGTGCCTGCCTGTCCCCATGAGTCAGGACTGATGTGGCCTGATTAACCTCTCTGAGATAGCTCCCCCTGCATTCTTCTCATTCTCAGTCCTGTTCATTACTGTTATTTAATCTGTTTTAACTTTAACCAGATGCTACTCTCCATCACAACTTTCACGGTCCTGTTCTCTCCTTTGCTGATTGGTGCTTACATTTGTACAGGAGGAATGCTATCTTCCTTCTCTGGCAACTTCTTTGTTTAGCACACCTGTTGGTCAAGACTATTCACATCCATTTGCTTCTCAGGCTCTATAGAGACTACATATAAGTCCAAAGTGAGGTGACAAAGTCATCATAATGTGGCCTGTTTGCTTCAAGTCAGATATTGAGGAAGTTCTGATATGCAGCCACCAGGTAAGTGGAAGTAAACATCCTCCCTCTTCTATAAAATATAGATAGTTCACAATAATTTCTCATTTCTTATCTCATGCCTTCAACAAGGTGTCACCAGACCGCAAGCATGGTAGTGAACTTACCCCAGCCTACTTTTTCTCCTTGTCATTTTTGTCATTAGTCTATTATATCAGCTCTGTACTAGGTGTTGGATGGATCATGCTTGATGGAGAAAGACACCCTTAAGGAACTACAAATATTTAATGTTTAAACTACTTAGTTTAAAGAGCTATTATTCTGATCTGCAGAATCCTTAGTCTATGTACAACAGGCTTCTCTGTCTGGCTGTGTTCTTGTATGCATATAGTGTGGCACAGCATTTGGAGGAAGGAAGAAAAAGAGTGACAGTCTGTTCCTTTTTACAGCCCATGCTTGGGTGCACGCAACTCAGAGTTGCAACAAAAAGCCCTGGAAGGAAAGAGCTCAGCTCAACACTGCAGCTGCTCTGGCTGTAGAAATCCATTCCTGGTTTAGCTGCTTGCATATGCACAAAAAATAATAAATAAATTTTGGAATGACTTTCTGGCTCAGAACTGTTTAGTTTCTGAAACGAGTCTCAGCAATATGGAAGGATATTTGTGATTAATTTGACAACTGGCAGAAATACTCTTGTGATACAATCCGTTTCTAATTATTATTCAATTATATGCACTTATTATCTTTCCTAAAGTGTATTATTTGATGCTCGCCTGAACATGAGCTGGCAGTGTGCCCAGGTGGCCAAGAAGACCAATGGCATCCTGGCTTGTATCAGGAATAGTGTGGCCAACAGGACCAGGGAGGTGATCATCCCCTATACTCTGCTCTGGTGAGGCTGCACGTCGAGTGCTGTGTTCAGCTTTGGGCCCCTCACTACCAGAAGGACATCGAGGCCCTGGATCATGTCCAGAGAAGGGCTATGAAGGTGGTGAAGGGCATGGAACACAAGTCCTGTGAAGAGCGACTGAGGGAATTGGGGTTGTTTAGTCTGGAGAAGGGGAGGCTCAGGGGAAACCTTATTGCTCTCTATAGCTACCTGAAAGGAAGTTGTGGGGAAGTGGGCGTCAGCCTCTTCTCACAGGTGATAGGACTAGAGGGAATGGCCTCAAGTTGGACCAAGGGAGGTTTAGGTTGGAAATTAGGAGGCATTTCTTCTCAGAAAGAGCAGTCAGACATGGGAACGGGTTGTCCAGGGCAGTGGTAGAGTCACCATCCCTGGGGGTGTTCAAGGAAAGCTTGGACATGGTGCTTAGGGACATGGCTTAGAAGGTGACATTGATGCTGGGGTGATGGTTGGAGCAGACAATCTTGAAGGTCTTTTCCAACCTTAATGATTCTATGATTAAAGGGAAAGTCTTCTAAATGGCAGGACAAAATATGTGCAAAGAATTGCCTTGCCGACTTGTTATCAATATCCATCAGCTTTTTATGGCTGCAGATAACTACAAATCAAGCATAGCAGAAAAATCATGCCACAGGAGAGTATCAACAATAGCTAAACTGGTAGGCAACACAGCTCATAGGTAACTGACAAATACTTATTTAAAAAAAAATAACAAAAACATGCTTTACTCTTGTTTTCAATAGGACAGAGGAGACTGGAAATCCAGAACTTTTGGTATGATCTGGGATAGAATTGTTCCTACAATTTTGTAATTTTTTTTCTTTAATAGAAATTTTCTGTTTTCCTGAGTAGAGAAGATATTATAAAGAAAATTTGCAGGGTTCATGGTCACTTTCAGTGAAGTAATTTCTATCTTTTAATGTAGTAATCAAAAGTTTCTGTCAAAAGATTTGTTTTAAATGATGATGGGAATGTGTGTCCATAATAGGTAAATTGCAAGAGTAACATATACCCATAAAAATGCAAGCTTTAATAGTTCCAGGTATCATGGGAATACTTTTCTTTTGATATGTGGATAGAATTACTTTTTCCCCTATAGTTTAAAGTTGAAATTAAGAATTGTGGAGTATTGATTTCTTACTGTCTAGGACTTACCTGATGGAATAGAAAAGTTTTCCTTCATTTGCAAGATCTGAAGAACATTAACTGAATATAAATTTTGACAAAGTATCCATGAGTTCATTCATAAAGAAAGTGAGTAAACAGATCAAAAGAGAGACAAAGCCATTCACAGTTTAAATACTCCTGAACTGCAGTGCAGTTCCATATGATTTTCTTTTGCCAAGACTGTCTCTAAGACAATCATTTGGTATGTGTGCTTATTCTAAACCCAAACTATTCACAAATAAGAATATGATGCTTTTGTCTGCAGGCTTAAAGAAGAAACCTCTGCAATGACAGCACATTGAAAAAAACTGCAATAATGAAAAAAGAACTGTAGAAATTGATCTTTCTTTCTGTTTGCACCAAATAACAGCAGGTATACTAGTCCATGTGAGCTCCTTATGAGAAGAAAAAAAAAAGCTTATTCAGAAATTGTGCATTTCTTTTTTATTTCTCAGGGTAAACAGTGGAACTCTATATCAAACACCAGCTGTCCATCACATTACAGCATTGAGGCATTGAGGCCTAAACACAAATATTTGAATGTTGCATGAACACTGGATGTGAATATGACTATAGTTTCTTTGACCTTAATGAATGAATGAATGAATGAATGAATGAATGAATATACGAGATGAACCAGTGAGTAGACTAAGCAGGGCCGATTCACAGGAAAATACTCAAAATGATAAATGACATCTTCAAAACTGACTCTGACCGCTAATTCTGTAGCAGATAAAGAGGACAAAAGAGAAATAGTTACAGATGAATGCATGATTCAGGTTTGTCAAATTCAATTGACAATCACAACATGCCTTGGCAATGATTTAAATAGAGACTTTTTATCTTAAGGAAATAATGTATTCACTGTACTCTTTGGACATCATTGATTTATTTATTTTTAAATCCGTACTCCTTGCAATTCTTGTTCTGCATCTAAGACTGTAAAAGAATTAAAATATTATGTTACTTCAGAGATACAAACCTTTGTATCAGAGAGGATATAATTAATAATGACATAATATATGATTACATAGGTTCATAGGGTAGCTTGGCTATATTTATTTCGCAAATTCTTTGGCACTTCTGAGACTGTCTTTTGCATTTGTTGCACAGTATAGTGAAAAGTATGTGGCAGAAAGAGGGATACACTGAGGTGTAAAGACACAAAAGTGGAGATAACATCAAAGGGAAAATAAGGGTGAATTGGGGAAGATGAAAAAATTAGCTGTTCAGGACAGCACCGAAGGTTCTTTCTCCCTATTTTCCTCTTTCCATACTTGTGTGTGTGTGTGTGTGTGTGTGTATGCGTATGCATATGCATATGTATACATGTATGTATGAATACATATGTGACATCGGTCTGTCTCTCACAGTTGATTGCCACTGTTTCAGATGTTCTTGTATCAGGGGTGAAGAAGAAGAAGACTAAGGTCATCCAGGAATCTTTTAGACCCCCTCTCTCATCCCCTGACACATCGTCCAGTCCTTGGTGACTATGTCATCCTACAGCTTCCCTCTCTCCCAAAGAAATGCTATGGTATAGGTCAGCTACCTGCCACTGATTTTCACACCATGTCTCATGACAAGATTTTGGGTCAAATCCTATCATCTGATACAGTGAGGGTGGCTACATCTGGGTTACTTGACCAGACACAGATGGTGGTCTAGTCCTCCGGTTGCCATCACCACATCATCTTGTTCAGAAGTTAAATGTGCGGTATATGAGTTTCTTGGAGAGTTATCAAGTTTTTTTTTTTGACAGAGACTTCTCAGGGAAGGTTGGATGACCATATGTGGGGAAGAAAATTGGATTACTTTCTCTTCAACTTCCATATTTTAGTGTCAGGAAATATGCCTGCTCTTCTAAAACAAACAAGACCAAATTATAACATTCTTGGTCAAGTTTCAAAAGTTTCTGTAAACAGGCTTTAGGATATTTTGTTTCACTCATTCATGCATTTGCAGTAATGCACCAAGTACAAAGTGGTTACTTCTCTTGTACTGTATTTATATAAGAAACTGAACTGTTGCTGAAGGTGCTTTCTTAGACTGTATTTAGAATGGTTTGTCTCATACACATTGGTTCTAGCATTAATTATCATTAATGGTTTTGCAAGCCTCCTTATTAGGCTCCAATGTCAACAATAGTGTTTGCTTGCTTAAATATAAAATAGTCTCTATACTATTTTATAATATATAAAATAGTCTCTAGGAAGTGCCTTTGGTTTGCAAAATTCTTTAAAATCCAACCAATGAATAAATTCTGATTCACTGATTGCTGTTTTGATCCTGTACTCTTGCACTGCACTGATTTTGATATGCTATCTGAAAATAAATTAAAATAAGAAAGGTAAACCCATGGTTCAAATGCTTGTTTCTATTTAATAAGTTAGTTTAAAAAAAATCAGAACTGAGCCTCTAGAATTACCTGTTTAACATATTTACTGTTCACATGAGCATGCATTTTGATCTATTTCATACTAAGCAGTGAAATTCCAGACTGTTCTCTTTGCCTTTCTTTCAGTTTGGTTAGAAGGTACAAAACCTACTTTTATGATCAAAAGTTTAATATTTAAAATCTTTACATTAAAACTATATTACAGATGGTAGTGATTTTTTTTTTTTAGCTCAACTTCCATTTTCTTTTTCTATTCTTCTCTTTCCTTTTGCCTCAGAAAATTAGCCTCACAAATGTGAGTTTCAAAAACATATTTTAGTAATTCTTACAGTCAGACAATTTTGCTAGAAAAAGAACATAATGTGCACAAACTAAACATTTCATTTTTATGCCCTGAAATATAACATCTCACCTGCCTGTCTAAAATAAATCATTAACACCATGAGTTCATAAATAACACAAATAACATCCTTTTTGAGAACATTTTTGACGTAGTCCAGTCAGGCTGAATTTTAAACATTCCTATACCTCTAAAAATATACATGCTCATGGTTTCTCCTGTTACAGATTGGT